ACCTATCCATCCTAGAGAATTGCGTCAAAAACAAGTGAAAAACCTGAAAAATATTTTCAAGTTTCTCAAATGGCCGCTAGGGGGCATAACTGCAATCTTGAATCTAAAGAAGTGATGTTTCTCTGAATTCCGCTATAAAAACCTATCAAAAATACCTGATCTTCAAATTCGAGTTTAATCTCAACCCTTTGCATTTGACAATTTCGTAACAAATACTCTGTATCTTCGAAGCGGCTAAGCCCATTTTAATAAACTTGGGTTAGTTGAAAAGAGCTATCTGTGAGCTACAAATTTTATGATATTTGAAGTATGTTAGTTTTACATGTGGCCGCTAAAGGGATTTTTTTCGGCATACCGACAGAAAAGGTTAATCTTCACAAAAGATTAAATGCATTGGTATGATTCTTTTTATGAAAAAGACGCTAAATGTTGTCTAAGCAACCTCGCGCAAACTGTATCTCGATATCTTGTTCCTAATTTAAAATTTAGGCCATAGAAAATTTTATCCGGAAATCCCTTGAAGAATTATTTTTTATTCATCAGAATAAAATCACCCTTTTTGAAAATATTACAAAATATCGCTAAAAGGTAAGTAAGTGATGCTAATGACAAAAGGCATATTTTTTGTTTGAATGCATATTCACTATGGGTATATACGAAAATAGAAGCAGGCCATAGAATAGAACAAAACAAATACCTAATCCAAACATAAATAATCCTTCAATTTTAATAGTTGTCAACAGTTTCGCTTATCGCGCTGTTTTAGCATCTACGATGGAAAGGTTCCCAGATACAGTACCTCGCATTCTTAGCTGGCCACCCTGTACATTTTATAAGTGTATATGGTAAAGGTATAAATTTGCTAATATATCAGGGTGTCACTCTTCTGGTCAAGTTCAAGTGCATATCCACATGTATCCGCAAACATCTAATATTTTTTGAAAGAAACTTGAAATGGAAAACTATATTATTTTAACTTATTGGAAACAAGCGGACAAAAGAGTAAGTTCAGGGAAAAAGGTATTTGTGGAAATGTCAAAAAAAAAGAAACTAACCAAAAATATCCCGTTGTGGATCTTCGTTGATGTATGCTCATATGAATTTAAGTATTGCCTACTAGTAGAAGTATAGTTTTTCAATCATTATGAGCATGTTTACTGTAACTATGTTTTATTCATAGGTAAGTTCTGTCACAATCTCGTTTATCCCATGTGAGAACAAACATCAGCGTCTGTCTTTAATTTTTCGGATTCTTATGGCATATCGTAAATGCTTGGACACGCGGCAACAGGCTAATATTAGTGATCGAGTACTTGTGCTTCTTCTAATGTGACATATATCAGGTTTCAATAGGGGGAATCGATGATAAACTAGTCATATGAAATTCTTGTACAAGCAGTCGCTGCTCCCTTCAATTTTTCGTTATACCTAGTAAACATTTGGGAAATTTAGAGAAATTATTGGGTGTCAAGGAGAGGTTTGGGTATTGAGAAATTATGGGGGAGTTTTTCGAAACTATAGAAATTAACATCTCTCGCAAATGCTCGACAGACGGCTGACTCTTTCTGACTGTCAAACATTTTTGATTGATATCTGCGCGCGGCATAAATCGCAACCTTTCCGCTCAATGGGCGCGCATCTTTATTGTGTAATAATAGGCATTCCGGGGAATTTTGGGGCAATATCTTCTGTTGTTGTACATCGATGGGAATTCATCATACACCCAACAGGGAATTCTAGACATAGCGGAGATTTACAAGAATTGTGATGAATTGCGGAGAATTATATGGATTTACCAGGAAATTAAACGAATTTTATACATTCTCGAAGTATGAATTACTTAAAATCATTTGAAGAGTTGAGCAAGATGTAACAACGCTGGTTCCCGTTAAGGAGGACGGCGCAGCCACACCCATTCGAAATTACAATTTTAAATAGCTTTGTCTTCATGTTTATTCCCTGTTCCTGCAGATATTACTAACAGTGGCTTACCTCTCGGATGATAAGGAGTGCAGCAGGGATTTTGGTGACTTCCTGGGTGATACGGGGATCAGGGGAATTATCACGGTATTATTGGTACATTCGGAGAAATTTTGGAAAAATATTTCATGTTTTCTTACTGACAGCTCGGATAATAATGGTTGATTCTCCAGCAGGAATTCCAGTGATTTGGGGGGGGGGGGGTTGATTAGGTCTATTTAGAGGAATGTCGGGATAATATTCACTGTTATTGTAAATTACTAACAGTGGTCAACTTCTCGGATGATAATGATTAATTAATCACCTGTAATGCAGCAGAAATTCCGGTGACATTCTTGGTGGTTCGGGGAATTATGGGAATTATCGTGGAATTTCGATGCATTTGGAAAAATTTTGGGAAAATATTTGCTGTTATTGCAGGTATTACTGATATCGGCCTACCTCTGGGATGATAATGAGTAATTCCCCGTAAGGCAGCAGGAATTTCGGTGACTTTCTAGGTGATACGGGAATTAGGTGCATTTGGAGGAAACCCATCAGAATATTCCCTGTTATTGTAGATGACCCTACTGCACGTAAACTGAAAGCTGCAATATTTCAAAGCAATATACTTGAACGATTTTTAATTCCCAACATACCACGCCCCACACCCGCCCTTGTTCGGTTAGAAAACACAAAACATGAGAATTCACGAGTTTTTCGTGTCGAGAATTACTGATTTGCGACATATTTTTTCCACCGACTAATCACATGTGTGTGATGTGCGAGTGCCAGCGACCAGCGACCGGCCGACATGAAAAATGAACGTGCCAGGGGACTGAAAACAAGTCATGAAACAGCTGGTCAGAAAATTCCGATATGTGCGCCGCTCTTACAGGGAAATGCAGTGGCGTTTCCGCAGTCAGTCTCCACTATACGTTTCCATTCTGATAAGTTGCTGCATATTTTGGCCATGTTCACATTGTGAGTAGTTAACCACAGGCTGCTGTTCCGTACTTTAACATAACATCGAACGTCCCATGAGATGGCGAGGCACCAGCCCATTTAAACTGCGCCCTAATATAAACTCTCAACTCATCATCAATGGTCATGTTCATATCCTGGACACTAATGATGTGATTTCTATGGATATCACATCCAAAATAGATAGATCCATGGCCCTTTTATGGAAGGTAGTCGATTAAAAAAGCCTTGACGTTGACTACTGTGCAAGGCAATAAGCATCCCCCAAAGCCTGCGTCTTCCTTGAGGAAGATATTTGACAACTTTCCTCTCATTCTGATGTGCCCAAGGCAAATAAGTCATTCTTACTATAAGGAGGAATCTAACGAATATCAGAATTATGCCGGAATTCGTATAGCTCAACATGATTCATAGTGCTTATTAGTTTTCTTAGGAACTCAACCTTTTCATAATAATGACAATGATAATTGATTTATGTTTTCTACGAATTATGGTATGAATGAATCAGATTCTTATGTATGACAATGCCGCTGTAAATGGATATTTTCAGCAGCAATATTAGGCACAACAAAGAGCGCATGAAGAATGTGTCTATTTAATTTTGGCTTGTTAGGTTTTAAATATAAGTAGATTGGGTTTCACATGAATCTTTGGTTTTCCTTTACTTCAATAACAAAGCTATTGTAATCTGTCACATAAACGTAATGTTTTTTGTATGTAGTGGGAAACTGTAAATAAATAGTAAAACAGAACAATGAAAACTTACTATTCAAAAAGGGTGTTTGGCGAAGTTCAGCTATACGTCGCTAGAGTGATACACATCTGTTCTTCCACTTGACTATTTAAATTATAAGGGTGTCCGCAAAGTTGGGGTTTTCCTTTACACGACGTGTAGATTTGAAAACATAAGCAATTTTTCTTAGTACCATATACACCAATGTCTTAAGGGAACCGGGATAACGGGCTCTGCAATATCAAAAATATCTGAATACCGTCCTGTAGCCGCGATATCCCCGAGTGGTACTAGGACACTAGCTCAACCAGACGACAGAACTGGGTCGGGGTCAGTGTGTCAGGTCAGTATGCAACCTTCAACCGACGGTTGACCAGAGACGTGGCTAGATAAGTGCAAGTATCAAAAACTAAAGTGTGGCAAACGCTGCGTGAAGAGGGGCTGTATCCGTTTCACGTCCAATGAGTACAAGCCCTTCAACCTGACGATTTTCCAGCAAGAGTGCGGTTTTGTGAGTGGTTGTTGCATCAACATGACAATAATCCGGACTTTTTGAAGTGCATATTGGTGACAGATGAATCTACGTTCACGCGTAATGGGGTGAATAACTTTCGCAACATCATGTT